TTTTTGGGTCAAGAGAGGAACCTTTCTTGGAAGAACAGAAACATATCCAAGATTGTTGAGCTCACGACGTATCGTACATTTACTGACATCAAGGTTGGGATCTTTTCTTCTAATTTTGCCTTAAGTTCGCCTGCTGTAGTAAAATGATTATGTTGCAGAATTTTTCCAATATAGCGACATTGATTTGAAGCCAATTTTCTTGGACGGCCAGAAGAGTGTCCAATAGAAATTTTGCCAGTTTTATTTAGTAAACTGACATATCATTCACATATGTGCAAAGGAATATACAATTGATTAGAAATTTCCTTTGCATTACGCACTTTTTGGTCCCAAAGTGACTTAATAGAATTTCTTTGTATTTTTAAAGAGCTTGGCATAGTTTCGGGAAAGGAAATCAAATAAAAACAAATAACAAACCTTATTTTTTAATTTACCTTTTTAATTCAGGTTCCAATGTCCAATTTGGCATATAAACAATTGCCTAAATCTGAAAAGTGGTGAAACTGCAGCCTAAAATAGATGCGGTCTTCTACCACCATTCTTTTCGCTAGGGACTGTATATTAAAATTTGTTATATAAATAGTTGATTATATAAATAATACAAAATATTTTAATTAAAAAACAATTATTTTAAAATAATTTTTTAGTAAGAATATTTTAGTAATATATAAATTAAATCAAAAATATTTAAATCAAAGATATATATTATAAAAACTCTTTTTAAAAATTTATAATTTTTTTTAATTTTTTTTAAAAAATATACTTTTAAAGCATTTATTAATTAAAATACTTTAATACTATTTATTTTAAAAAAATTAATTTTAAATTTACTATTTATTTGAATTACAGTTAATCTTTTATATAGTTATATTTAAATATAAGTATTAAAATTAAAAAAATGATATAATTGAGTTACAACTTATGATGTAATTAAATTTATTTTAGTATAATTAAATTGCAACTTAATTGAAATTTAAAAATAATTATAAAAACCATTTTTAATAATATTTTTAAGATTAAAAATATTAGTAAAATTATATAAAAGTTATATAATAGATTATAGATTATATTATTTAATAAATTTATTATTAAATTTTTCTTAATAAAAATGAAAATAACTATATAGAAGAATAATTATATAAAGGATTGAAATTAGTTTAAAATTTGATGTTTAATTTAGTTTATTTTATTAAAATATTATTATATTATAAATTATATATCCTATAATTTGATTTATTAATAATCTTTCTATTATTAAAATTAAATTAAATTAAGCTAAAATAAAATATACTTAGTTTAATTAAGTTATAGTATTTTAAATTAGCTTATGTAGAGTTTTTACTAATTATTTAAAGCATAATAAATAAAAGATTTTTTAGTATAAGTTAATAAAATTGACATGTTTGTCTGTTTAACATATGATTTTATTAATTATGTAATCACTGTATTAGACTCAATTTAATCAATATATTTGTCTGTCTAGCATATAATTTTATTAATTATATAATCACTGTATTAGACTTATTTTGATCAACATATCTGTTTGTTTAACATGTTTAACATATTTAACATATGATTTTGTTAATCACGTGATCATTGAATTAGACTCATTTTAATCAACATATCTGTTTATTTAACACATGATTTTATCAATCACATAATAGCTGTATTATACTCAATTTAATTAATATATTTATGTGTCTAGCACGTGATTTTGTCAATTAGACTTTTTCTTTCTTATTGCATTAATAATTATATTTTAAAGTTTCTTAACTCTGAACACATAACAGTTTCTGTTGGCCTAATTAATATATTTTATATAATAAATTTTACAACTTTATGCAGATAAGTTATTTATTTTTTTTTTTTTGCTTTATAATTTCTAAGTATATTGATTATTATTATTAAAATCAAATTATAAAACATAGAAATCATGATTTAATATAGTTTTAATAGTTAATCACTTATATTATACTGCATTTTTAAATTGGTTTTTTAATTTATTTTAATTTTAGAATTGTTTAATTCTGTTTGAAATATTCTAACAGTTAAATATTTATTTTTACCCTATTTTGCATATCTAATTACAAATAACTTTTTAGTATACTACTGTTTCTTTTTTATTCTTTTTAATATTACAAATAATTTTAGTAAACTACTGTCTTTTTTTTATTTATTATTTGTTCTTTTAATAGGAAATTTATTTTAACAAATAACTATATATAAAAAAATTAAAAAAAACAAAATAAAAAGTAATCAAGTGTAGATTAGTAAGGATTTATCATAAATTTAATATCTTATATTACCAATGTATGTAACTCTATTATTAAAACAAAAAAAGATTTTTTTTTTTCTATATAGCTATTAATAAATATTATTTTAAAGATAAAATAATGCTAAAAGATTACATAATGGATTTATCCTTCTAAAAAGTTTTTTCTTATATATCGATATCGTTGTTTTATTTCCAACTTTGGATGTTCATTATGAAACGTTGTGTATTTGTCGTACATGATTTTTCATTACATGTAAAACAAATTCATCTCAAAATTCATGGTCGATAGCCAAAATATAGTTGTGAAACAAACTACGATCGGGGACAACTAAATAAATCCAACTCTGGAAGGTTGCACAAACATCATAAATAAATTAATTTTCAAATTTTTTTTTTTTTTTTCAAAATAAAACGTTCTTGCTCATTATAATGTTTGTTTCTTCTTGATCATTCTCTCTATTTTATCTCATTCGTTTTCAATTATAATATTTTTTATATTTATAAATTTTTTTTTTAGCTTTTGATGAGTTCCATACTAATGATATCAAATAATATTCAAATCCTGTAGTAAACATCAACAACGATATCAACACTAACAAATCAAATGAATGTAGTAAAAGAAGAATCTATAAGTATAGTAGAAAAACAACAGGAAAGTTCATTAAATGATTTATCGGCTACGTTAATTCCAACAACAACTCCGTTTTCCTCGAATACAAAAACAACAGTGACGACGTCGACATCGAATCCTAATAATAAAGATACCATTGAAACTGAACATGATGATGTTTTAATTCGAGTAGGAGAACAACCTGATTTAAAAAAGTTTCGAGCAAATTCAAAATTATTAAGTAATAAATGTAGTTATTTTCGTACAGCATTATCGAGCAATTGGGCAAGAAAAGAGGATGATGTATTTATATTTGAGAAACCAAACATTAAACCAAAGGTTTTTGGAGTTATCTTGAGGTAAGTTAATAATATTTTTTTTTTTTTAAAAAAAAAAAAAAATATTTATTCGTTGTAAGAAAATATTTGGTCAATTTATCACTCAATTTTTTTTTTTTTTTAGTTATATTTATAAAGGGACAGTTGATTGGAAAATATTAGAAGGAGAAGATTTTCTTGGAGTATGGTTAGCAGCAGATGAATTTATGTTGGATGATTTAGAGAGACAAGTTCGAGAATTATTTGAAAAGAAATCAGAAATGTTAAAGAAGAATTTTATGACAATTGTGAGATTAGTATATCAAAATGAAACATTGGAAAGATTTCGACCAAATTGTGTAGATATTATTAATACGACAACATGGTTTCAGGATAGTTCTAACTTTGGTACGTTAGAAGAATCAATTTTTCAAAGTTTATTAACTGAGGAAGAAAACTATGTTCATGATGGAATTATGTGGAATTTATTGATTTTATGGGCGAGTTCATCAAAAAAGCCAATATTAAATTCAAGTAACGTGATGGAATGGACGGATGAAACATTTGAATTACTTAAGAGTAGGATGGATCATTTTGTACATTTTATAAGATTTTCATTAATTTCACGTAATGATTATTATGATTATGTTTTACCTTATAAACGTATTTTACCAGCAGATACAACAACCAATGCGGCATTACAATATTATCTTTATTGTTTGGATGAGGGAGGAAATCCAAAGCTTGATGTTTTACGTCCACATGTTATATTGAATGATTCAAAAATTGTCAATCATACTCATGTTGCTATGATTGGAAGGTGGATTGACATTGGAAGAGAGAAAGAAATTTATATACCTGATTCTTCTTCGACGAACAATAATGGATATCATGCTATAAGTACTGATGAAAATTCAAGTTTAAACGAAGAACAAGAAAATTCTTCTTCCAACGCGACGATAGCATCGTCGACTGAAGCGACAAAGAATTCAAATTCACGTAATGAAGAAAAAGGATCAACGAAACTTTCATGGAAACAACCTTCTTCATTGAGAAAATTGTGGACTTTACGTAAAGGAAGGAGACCTGTTTACCATCCCGATTCTTCTTTGACTCCTTCAACGACTACAACAGTCAAGAAAGGAAATAGTAACGATAAAATACAAACACCTTCAAGTTCAACACATGTTGATGCAAAAATTCATTCGTCATCAAATAGAACGTCACATTCATCGACAATATTTTCTTCATCAACATTTACTTATCATTTTAAATTAATTTATCGTGGTAGTAGAGATGGATTTGATATAAAATCTTATAATAATAAATGTTCTGGACAAGGAGCAACAGTAGTTGTAACTACAATGAGTCATTCCCGAATCATTTTAGGAGGATATTACCCAATAAATACAGAATCAAGTTACCCAATGGAGGTATTTTCAGGTAGCTCGGAAGCTTTTATATTTTCATTTGGTGAAGGAGATAATCCTGAAGATGATGCCATATTGAGTAGAGTATTAAAAGAATATTCGCATAAAGCTATTTGTAGAACTATTTATGGACCTGGGTTTGGTGAAAATGATTTAGGTATTAGCTTATCTGGCAATAGTCATCCTAAAATAGGCGTTTGTAATAAAAAATTTTATGAAAAAAAAATTATCGAACCAAATACTTTTACTTTTGATGAGATTGAAGTATTTAAAGTTACTAGAGAAGCCATCTAAGTGAAATATGGGGGGAAAGTCCAAAGCATAATGGTTTAAATAGAAAAAATTTTTTTAGTTAAAATTTGATCTTAGTTAAATTGCATGTATGTATATAATTTAATCATAACAATTTGATCGTTCAAATTATATATATATATTCTGTATTCTACTTTTTTTTTACCTCGTAATTTTATAGTTTGATAAAATTAAATGAATTTATTTTTTTATTTTATAATTTTTTATAATCAAAAAATTGATTTATGCATATATTTAACGAACTTTTATTATAGATCAATTTTCATTTGAAAATTTTATTTAATAAAAATATCTTTTAAAAATACATTAATCCCTACTAATTTTCAAATGGATCTGGAACTAATTTGAGTATTTCGCCAGCGCCAGGATCATTCATTTGACTTGACTTGATTTTTCGAAAACATTAATTTTTCTAATAAAATTAATTCCTAGTTACTACACATTCTAAAACGCATTCTAAATCAGGCTAGTTTATTCCTGAAGTGAAAAAAACTTGAATAACTTTTTCGTCTGTTAAAGATTCCCAGATCGTTTTCATTGATTTTCGACGCAAGTCAGAAATCAAATATTTATCTGCTATACTGAATATTTATTATTACTTGTAAATGGTAGTTGATCTGCATATAAAAAAATTTAACATATTTCATGGATACGTTAATATTATACTTAGTTGGTCGCTGTTCTATGGGTGAAGGTAGTTGTATAACGGGTTTATCAACTTGTCCAAATAATATATTTTCGGGCGTTACTTCTTCAATCGTTCCTTCTTGACGGATTATAAAGTGTTTTGTTGTTGTTATTAGCAATATTTGATTTTTCGCTCCGATTTCCTGGAACATGTTCTAAAATAATCCGATCGATTTGAAAGAATTACGCTAGATGCATATAACCATTCACATTAAATCACACATCAGAACTTGTTGGGTGTTCTAATTGTTCTTCCCATGCTGATTTTAATCTCTCCGAGTGGACTTTATTGTGCATTAAGACAGTTTCTATTTTTTAGCAATGAATTCGACAAATGTCACTTTATCCGTCCGATAAGCATATTCTTTGCACACAAAATTTACTTAAATTTTTTTTTTTTTTAAAAAAAAAAAAAAAGTAAATACCTTGACCTGGGCATCGTTTACGAAATGAACTGTCTTTGTAAATTAAGATGTTTGTGTTATATGCAATTTCTCGATAAACAATAATCTAGATATTCATTAGTCGTCGTTAATAATAGTCATATTAATAGAAATCATAAATCAAATCATCATTATGATAATACATACGGGGGTGAGAATTTTAATTGATATGGGAAACGAAACGAAACACAGCACGGATTGAGTTTATATGCTGATTGGTCTGTGATCCGCAGCACGGGTTGAATAATATTTATTTTTATTTTTATTATTTTTATTATTTTTATTTTTAAATTCCCTTTTTTGATTGATAATCTATAATCTATAAAATGTCATGTAGGATATAAAAATACTATATAAAGTTAATCAAAAACAATTTTTAAAAAACTAAAAATGTCTCGTGGTAACAATACAATATCCTCGCAACATAACGATATTCAAGGAAATGATGAACTAATACGAACATATTCTGATAGTCTTGAACATAATATATCACACGATGATTCATTATTAGGTGTATTTTATGGTATTGGTATGAATGTAAATAATGTATTAGGATCAGGAATAGTTACTACACCAGGAATTATTTGGAAATCAGTAAAATCTCCAGTGATTGTATTAATTTTATGGTTTATCGGTGGACTTGTTAGTATGGCAGGATCGTTATCTTACGTTGAACTTGGAGCTATGCATAAAATAAGTGGAGGAGAAACAAAATATTTGCAAACAGCTTATCCAAAACCGAAACTTATGATGAGCTATCTTTTCAGCTTTATGTTTATTTTGTAAATGTTAACATCCTGATTTTAAAAAATTTGTCAGAAATGATTTTTTAAAGTAATTAAAAAAAAAATATATTTTTAGTGCAATTCGTCCAGGAATTATAAGTGCTGTTTTACAATCTGCTGCGCAATATTTTTGGTATACTATTACCGGAAGTTCTTTGGAAAAAGTCGGAGATAAAAATGGATGGGAGCTAGGTTTTGCTCCATTTTGGTATAATAATTTATTTTCTTTAGAAAAAAAAATTCAGGGCGATTAATTAGAAAACCTATCTAATTAAATTAAAATATCTAATTTAAGATTTTTATTTTTTTCAGGTCTATAAAATTAATTGCAATTATAATTTTGTTCATTATAACTGTGTATCATATGTTAAGTAACAGATGGGCAAGTTATATAAATCAAACATTGGCAATTATCAAGTTTTCTACATATTTGACTATCGCCATAGTTGGCATTAGTAGATTATTTTTAGATCGGGAAAAAAGTCTTAGTAACTGGCAAGTACCATTAGAGGGAGATACAAATATCGCAGCATACTCCAGTTCGGTTTTGTTGGTAAATACTTGAAGAGAATTTAAAGTTTTTTTTTTTTAAAAAAATCGTTTATATTTTTAACCTTTCTTATTTTAAGATTATGTTCGCCTATAATGGCTGGAATAACTTGAATTGTAAGTCTTGTGACTTTTAGCATTTTTCTTATAGTTTATATTATATATTAACGTTTATAAATTTAATTGTTTGTGTAGATTCATTAGATGAATTTAAAAATCCGGAAAAGAAATTGATTTTCAGTAATAGCATCAGCGTTGGAATCGTCTCTATAATGTGTAAATGTGAACTTTATTATATTGAATTTTATCCCAATTCCCAATTTTGATCGCATTTTTTTTTGATTTTGTTTTTTTTTACAGATCTTCTCGTAAATGTTGCATTTATCACTGTTGTACCAAAAGTAGACGTGGATAATGAAACGACAAATGAAACTATAGCAGCATCATTCTTTTCTCAATTATTTAAAAGCGAAATAGTTGTTAGAATTTTCACTTTACTTATTGTACTCTCTGTAATTGGAACTGCTGCGTCTACGGTATGGAGGTAAATCATCATATCTTTCATATATTAAAAAGTCAAAATAAATCTCTAATAAATTTCTAAAAATAAATTTAGTGGATCAAGAGTTATTGTTGCAGCAGCAAGATCAAACTTCTTTCCAGTATATTCGGATCAATTAAAGACATGGCATGAAGATTATAATACACCAGTTAATGCACTTCTAGCGCAATTTATTTGGTGTTCACTAATTATATTATTTGTTGGTAGTAGCTTTAAAATTACGAGTTTTCAATTATTTTCAAAGTTTGCAATGTATAGTTTTTGGATTTTTTATTTGGCTACTGGTGTAGGATTATTGGTACATAAAGAATTCATTTTTTTTTTCTTTTTTTTTTTGATTTTTCTTTTTTAAAAAAAAATATGTAACCTTTGAAAAAATCACTAGGTACTACGACATAAAAGGCCCGATAAACATCGTCCCTTTAAAGTTTGGTTACCCATAACAGGATTATTTATATTGGCAGGAATATTTATATTAACATTTTCATTTATAGTCGAATGTGATGATTGTGATATATATCAAAAACATAGTCCTTTTTACATTAGTTACGGATTTCTTTTCATTGCTTTGATGCTTTGGTATATCTTATATTATAATTGGGAAACTGAAAAGGGTAATGAACTTAAAGATGAAGAAGATGAAACACAGATGAAGGGAGCAGAGAAAGAGGATCATACGGAACCTGAGAATATAAAATTTTATGCTGGGCCTTCTAGAAGTAAATAATATCAAAGTTCGAGAACATAAAATTAACACTTAGATTATTATAAGTCCGGGCACAAAAAAAAAAAAAATTTGAGATTCTTCGTGCAGAAACTTTTTAGATTTTAATATCACGTGATAATTATCGATTTAAGGAAACTTTAATTAAGTTTCAGAGTTTATGGTTTTCATAATTTTTTAATTGTGAAAAATTTAATATTCTTTGTTTCTAGGTGGCAATCTTTCTACACTCAAATAATACTTCTAAAGTAATATATTATAATAATAAAAATCTGCTAATTAAATTTGTTTTACCCTTAAAGATTACAATTTGTATCTTTTTTTGAAAAGTAATTTTTTACGTCTAATAGAAAATCACCTAACAATCTCCGTAATCTCCATGGAATTAAGATATTGTTGTAGTGAATATTGTATGATTATATAGCCTTGATAATGCTATCCCAATTTGGCAGATTATTTGGACAAATGAAACTATAGCGTACTTTAGTCAAGATAACGCTGTTAGAATTGTGCTCTCCAACTGCAGTATGGAGATAAATTATTACATTTTGCATATGTTTAAACGTCAAAATTAAAATAAAGTTTTATTAATAAAAAACAATATAATTTTTGTTGAACAACCTACCTTCGGATTGATTAAAGAACTGAAATGAATATTATAATACGCGCAATGTATTTGGTGTTCACTAATTATTGGTAGTATTTTTACAATTACGAAGGGTCTTGAATTATTTTCAAAGTTTGCAATTTGGCTACTGGTGGTATATATATATAATAAAATATATTTTTTCATTTTTTTTTTTTAAATGTAACCTTTGGAAATTGAGAAACTGTCCCTTCAAAGTCATAACTTGATTATTGGTAGGAATAATATTTTAACAATTTACATTCGTAAGATTGTGGTATAGTTCTTTTTGCATGAGTTACGGTATTCTTTTCATTGCATAGATGTTTTGGTTACTAAGAAACGAGAGAGAAGAGTGATATGTTAATTCATTTACTGTAAATTAAATTATAATGTGGGGGAAAAAAAATACTGTATTAAACAACTACTATAAAATTTGTGAGTAAATTCTTTTTATTAAAAAAAAAAAAAATTCGAGTTTCATTATATTGTGATAAGTAAGCAAATGAAGACAAGGAAACCTATCTGTTAATTTTTTTTTAATTCCATACTTCTGTTAAAAGGAAGGAAGGAGCAATCAAAATTAAATATTGTAATATAGATCATGAAGTATTTGTCATTACTTAGGAAAATTTTTTTCATAGGGTGTCTTTAACGTAATACATAAATCAATTAGAGATATCTATCCTCTTTTGATGACGCAATTTGATGACTTCGAAATCTTTAATCAATAACTTAATCTCTTTTTTTTTTTTTTGTATAATTATCCTCGTAAAAAGGTTATTGGTCAATTTTATCTCATTCGAACCCATTCCTAAAAAAGAAAAAAAAAACTAAAATAAACCACTGCACATACAGTAATCGGAAGATTCATCCGAATTTTTTCAAGGAATAGGTATCGTGATAAATCCAGTTGCGCCAATTTCTTTCTTAGTTGGAACGGGTACGGAATAGTTATCCGATAAATTTCTTATACAATAGGAAAAAAAAATGATCATCAAAATATTGACATTGGAAGAATCGAAGATTAGTTAGGTTAAAAATTTTCGTTTATTTTTAGATGAATGATCTTTTTCCAAAAATACATATAAAGGTTATTGATTATTATTAAAAAACCTCTTTCAAATTTTCCAAATTTTCAAAATTTCGTCTTTTCATAAAAAAAAACAAATCAACTTTAGGATGCATTACAATGGAAGAGGAGGACTTCAGCTAGAAGTTACACCTACAAATTCAACAATTTCAAGAAATAATGAAAATAACAGATTGTTGGGTGTAATTTATGGTATAGGGATGAATGTAAATAATATAATAGGAGCAGGTCCGTAAAAAATTCATTACTTTTTTTTTTTTTTTTTTTTGAAAATGGCTTAAAGTTCCTTGAAATTGATAGGTATATTTACTACACCTGGAATTGTTTGGAAGAATGTGAAATCGCCATATATTGTTTTAGGATTATGGTTAATGGGCGGGATTGTAAGTTTATTCGGTTCACTTATTTACACAGAGGTAAATGTTTTTTTTCCATATTTGATAGATGGGTGATTTAATTTTCCAAATCCAGAGTTTAATTATTTCATGTTTAAAGTACGGAGCTATTCATAAGGATAGTGGAGGCGAAACCATTTATCTTGCCACTGCATACCCAAAGCCATACCTAATGCTGAGTTATCTTTTCAGTTTTATGTTCATCTTGTAAGTAATGTAATTATAATTGTCCTTTAAAAATGTTTCTTTTATAATTATATCTTTTATTAAACTGCGTAATTGCAAATTAAATAGCGTAATTCGACCGGGAATTATATGTGCGGTTTTGCAATCGGCTGCACAATATACATGGTACTTGTTTACTGACGTTCCTTTTGCCGAGAGTTCAAATTGTAACTTGACAGAAATTAATAGATTTAACCCTAATTGGTAATTCAAAATTTGGTGCAGTCTTATAATTTATAAATTACAAACATGATTATTTAACACGTCTTGCAAATTTTGTTATTTATAGGATAATAAAATTGACGGCAATTGGATTATTATTCTTAATAACAGGATATCATTTATTAAGTAACAAGTGGTCGAATAGAATAAATCATACATTAGCAATAATTAAAACGATTGTGTTGATTGTAATTGCATTTGGCGGATTTTCAAAATATAAAAATGCCAATAATTGGACGACCCCTCCAGAAGGAGAAATGTTTAAATTCACTTCCTATTCTATTGCCATAATTTCAGTCTTATTTAGTTACAATGGCTGGAATAATTTAAATTATTCCTTGGACGAGTTTAGAAATCCCGAAGAAAGATTAAAAAAGAGTAACATTTACAGTGTTGGAATCGTGACGTTCTTATGTAAGTCTTCTAATTTCATTCCGGTTCAAACTATCGTTTTCTCTTCAAATGGTAAAAGTAAAATTAACAATCAATCAATTCATTTTACAATAGATTTAATGGTTAATATTGCATTTATTACTGCTGTGCCTTTGGATAAAATAAATAAAGACATTTTTAATGAAACAATAGCAATAGATTTCTTTAATAGCATTTTTGAAGGTAATACTACAGGAAAGAAGATCTTTTCATTTTGTGTTGTTCTATCCGCTATTGGAACAGCTGCGTCAAGCATTTGGAGGTAAACCATTTTGTAATATATATATTTATATATTTTATTAAAATTTATCTATTTATCTATATATATATTATTTTTAAAACAAAAAAAAAAATTAGCGGATCAAGAGTGATTGTGACTGCGGCAAAATCAAATTTTTTTCCAATATTTTCATCACAATTAAAAAGTTGGAATAATAAATTTAATACCCCGATCACTGCGTTATTAGCACAACTTGGATGGTGTACGCTTATTATGCTGGTCGTTGGTAGTACGGCACTAATCGATAATTTCATATTATACAGTTCTGTTGCAATGTTTTGTAGCTGGATATTCTACGTTATTACAAGTTTAGGTTTAGTGGTATGTTAGTTATTATAAATCTTTTTAATATATTTATAATTAAATTTTAAAGAACTTTCTTTAAATTTTTTCTTAGATTCTACGAAATACATCAACAACGGATTCAACTTATCCGTTTAAAGTTCCATTGCCGATAATTTATCTATTTATACTTTTCGGATTTATAACATTAATTTTATCATTTTGGGGCATAGATTCAAATTGTCCAAAATTAAATCTTTTATTCATTGTAATTTCATTTATATTTTTAATTATCGGTTTTTTCCTATGGTTTGGATTATTTTACTTGAGGCATTTAGAAGAACAAAGAAAAGAAGACAGAATTCGTGAAATTAATGAACAAGTTGAAAGTCGACTTGCTGCTATATCTGAATCTCAAAACAATCGAAGAACACGTACCATATAGTTATGTATATATTATTATTTATTCATGGTCATGGCCGGCCTTAAAATTTTTGTAATAGATTGATTGGAAATTTATGTAATTAAGAAAGTTTACATTTACAAAATTTCCTTTAATTTATAATATTGGTTTTTAAAATGTTTTAATTTAATTTTAAAATGAAAAAAGAAATTTATTAAGTAATAAAATAAACTTAATAAACTTGAAATATAATATCAACTATCTACTATTGTGTAATCCTCCGACTAATTGGAATAGTAAAATTTTATTTAGAATCGGAACATTCTAAAGACACATCATTTTATAAATTGTTATCTTTATATGATTCAAGAGTGGTATGATAAATAATATGATAAAAGATATAATATCGGTTTAAACATTCTAATTTTTTTTGGGAAAATTCCCAAACATTAACAAAGCATCTCTCTTTCCTGATTTAGCTTTATCATCAATCAAATCAAATAAACTTACTGTGTCAATTCCACTACTTGCGGATACAAGCAATAAATTCATAATTTTTTCTCTTGTTTAGCAATTTGACCTTTCTCATGATAGTCACAAAGATAGATAAAAATTCATGCTTTTTTTTTTTTCATAATTTTTTTTTTTCTTTTTAGGTTCGATCGGTTCCCAATCTTAGGCTAAGAACCAGACCGAACCTTCGAACGGAACTGTTCGGTTCGTCACCGCAGTGGAGGTAAGCCGTCGATTTTTTTTTTTAGTTTAATTAATATTTTTATTTTTATTTTTTTTAATATTTTATTTTTATTTGACTAATTTTTTTTTGATTTACAGTATCTTATTAGTCCGGAACGAAGTGAAGGACTATATATGTCTACGCAAAGTGTCCCGATCAAAAATTGAGTCGATGCTGATTGGCTTTTGCAATATTTTTTTTAGTTAAGATCGTTCCGGACTTAACCACGGTCCGTTCCCTAGTTTATTTGATTGTTTGCAGTTTTAGGTTAGATCGACGGTGACTTTTTTTAATATATCGTTACACTATTATTTGATTAATTTTATTTTTTTTTAGGCTAGATCGGTTTGGACTAGTGTTTCGGGCGAAACTAGTTTCGCCAATTTGATCTGCAAAAATCTTTCCAAATTTAGGGTTTCGGAGGTTTCGGATAGTTTCGGATCATAGACAAATTCTCTGGGCGAAACGTTTCGGATGTTGAAAAATAGTTTCGCCTGAAACACTAGTTTGGACGAATTCTTTGATTTTATCATTACTTTAAATATTAGTACTCGTAATCATTATTTTTTATTTTTTTTTTTTTTTTTTACATAATTACGTAATAAAAATTACAAAAAATTTTTGTCCCAATTTTTTTTTTTTTTAAAATCATATATAAACAACCGTTTTTCCTACCTATTCTTTCTTTTTTGGGAATGACCATAGCTAACACTATATAAAGTGGAATCACCTGAAACAGGACCGGGAAACTCTGTTAAATGTCACCGCAAAGCTTAGATTCGAAAAGTACTTTAAATCTTTCCTTTCTTAGTTATATTACTATACTTGGACTAGATACATGTGAATAAATAGCCAAATAGCCAATCATATTACGATTCGCAGTCATATGTTTTTTTTGATACTTTGGCGGGGACCTTACATATAGTTTTCCCGGTCCTCCTGACACCAACATCTATATAGCATAAACTGAATGTTAATTTTTATCGGAATTGTATTCTGACCTGCAATGTATGGTCGGATATGTTTCCTTTTGAAACAAATTTTTAACTTTGTATCTGAAAAATTTGGTTATTTGTGTCACATTTGGAACGAAACGCATTTACTATAAGATAAACAAGATTTTTTTTTTTTGAATTTTAAATTATTTTATGAATCAAATGCCTGAAAGCAAAGTTGATACTACGCCTCCAAATTACTTGCAAATTAATCAAGGAAATAACGAACTTATACAACCAAATATAAGTTCTATTAGTTCCGAACCTAATATGTCACACGATGATTCATTGTTAGGTGTATTTTATGGTATTGGTATGAATGTAAATAATGTATTAGGATCAGGAATAGTTACTTCACCAGGAATTATTTGGAACTTAGTAAAGTCTCCAGGGATTATATTAATTTTATGGCTTATAGGTGGACTTATTAGTAATGACAGGAACGTTAACTTACGTTGAACTTGGAGCTATGCATAAAATAAGTGGTGGAGAGACGAAATATTTACAGACTGCTTATCCAAAACCGAAACTTATGATGAGCTACCTTTTCAGCCTAATGTTTATTTTGTAAATGTTAACGTTCACTACATTCTGAATTTTAAAAGTTTATCAGAAATGATTTTAAAGTAATGAAAAATATACTTTTAGTGCAATACAACCAGGAATTATAAGTGCTGTCTTACAATCCGCAGCACTGTATTTTTGGTATACCATTACGGGATCTCAATACGTTAAAGATCCTGCAACTTTAAATTTTCTCCGATGTGGTATGAATGAATCATTTTATTTCTTATGCATTTAGATTACAAATTAAAAGTTCCAATCTTTATTATTTTATTTTTATCTTTCAGGAGTATAAAGATTATTGCAATTGTAAGTTTGTTAATTATCACATGCGCAGTAACAGGTGGGCAAGTCTTATCAACCAAACATTGGCGATTATCAAGTTGATTACATATTCAATTATAGCAATAATAGGAATTGTTAAATTGATTATAAATTGGGAGACAAGTCGCAGTAATTGGCATGAACCATTAAAAGTAGATACAGGAATCATAGAATACTCTCATTCGATTTTGTTGGTAAGTAAATATACATGAGTGATGATAAATTGAATCTTCTTTTTGAAAAACTTACTTGTTCATTTTATAGATTATGTTCGCCTATCATGGCTGGAATAACTTGAATTGTAAGTCTTGTGAATTTTAGTATTTTTCTTCCGAAAAAAAGTTTATATATGAATAAATTTAATTGTTGTGTAGATTCATTAGACGAATTTAGAAATCCGGAAAAGTAATTGATTTTCAGTAATAGCATCAGCGTTGGAATCGTCTCTATAATGTGTAAGTGTGAACTTGAACTTTATCCCAACTCTCAATTTGAACGCATTTTTTTTTTTTTTTTGCAGATCTTCTCGTAAATATTGCATATACTGTATCTCTGTTTTACCAAAAGGAGAATGGAATTATAACAATACAAATGAAAACTATAGCAGTATCATTCTTTAAAAATTTATTTAAAAGCGATGTAGTTGTTAGAATGTTCACTTTGCTTATTGCACTCTTTGTAATTGGAACTGCTGCGGCTTTGGTATGGAGGTAAATTATCACACTTTTCATATATCAAACGTCATAATAAATCCTTAATAAATTTCTAAAAATAATTTAGTGGATCAAGAATTATTCTTGCAGCAGCAAGATCAAACTTTTTTCCAGTATATTCGGATCAATTAAGAACATGGCATGAAGATTATAATACACCAGTTAATGCACTTCTAGTGCAATTTATTTGGTGTTCACTAATTATATTATTTGTTGGTGAGAATAAAACAATCACGAGTCGTGAATCATTTAAAATGTTTGCAATTTATAGTCTTTTGGTTTTTTATTTGGCTACTGGTGTAGGATTAGTGGTATGTGAAGGGAATTTTTTTTCCTTTTAAAAAAAAGTATATATATATATATACACGTTAAATTTTTTTTTTTAAATATGCAACCTTTTGAAAATCACTAGGTGTTACGATATAAAAGGCCCGAGGAACATCGTCCCTTTAAAGTTTGGTTACCCATAACAGGATTATTTATATTGGCAGGAATATTTATACTATTATCTCCATTAATAGTTGAATGTTCAGATAAAAGAAATTGTATAAATATAGAAAGAAATCCTATATACTTGAGTTACGGATTTCTTTTCATTGCTTTGATGTCATGGTGTTTGAAGAAAAAGCAACAAGCTGATATCGACACGACTGAATTTTACACATCTTCCTAATAATTATTAATAGTTATACAGCCTAAATAATTTGTTATAACGTTATTATTATTATTATTTAATATTTTTGATGTGGCACGTCTGAAACCATTTTAGGTGGTCAGCTCGACCATGATTTTATGGTCGGCTGACCACCCCGGTGACAAATAATGTGTGACAAATAGGTTTCACACCATGTGAAAAAAACTAAGTCCAAAAAATAAATAGAAATTATGCTTCACCGTATGGGTGAGACGGGTGTGAAAAATAGTGCAGATCTTACCCATATAAGTTAACCTGGCACACATTTCAGATATGCTTTGAAGTGAGTGCGTGACGATTAGACTTTCCTTTTAAAGCATAAATAAATTCTCATTATACATTCACAAAACATTTTCTAATCTTGACCTTAAACGAATCGCGTTATTTTTTAATAACGTGCACTCCCCCGGTCAAAAGTATTGGACCACGTGATTTTTGATACTCAAATTGATGTAATTCTATTGATCATAACTTTTGATAAAATGCATAAAAATGAACCAAATTTTTTTCCCACATAGTTACAAGCTTTAATATTTGAATATATATATATATATTTTTAATGCTAAAAATCTAAAGTGTCCATAGCGAACGAAATATTATAGATATTCTTGTCCATTCTATCTCATATTTTATTGTTTCAAGATATAAATTATTTAATCCCATTGTAAATCAGCAAAATATGATATAATGATATAGAGGTATTCTATGAAAAATAATATTGGAGTTTTAATTCAAGTTTCTGATAAATTGTGGATTTTTTGTATATGGGGGCTAAGCTATTAAAATCACCTTACGGGACCCCACCAACTAAATTTGAGATTTTTGATTCATATTATTA